CTCTCTAAATTGGAGGTCAAGTTCAGATCCAATTCAAATCCAGTTCATCACTTACTTTTTATTGCCAGAATGTTTGCCGGTATTGTAAAGTTACATTGCACAATATAAAAAATAATGTAACCTTTCAAATTTCCACTATGCTGTCAAAAAAAATCTTGTGCAACACCAAGTGCCAATAATAATATTTTAATATTATTTGGTTTAACGCGTTTTAAAATTTTTTTTTTTCAAATTAAAAATGTCTTTAAAGTATCAAAAGCGAAAAGAAAATCAAGGAGTGGCTGAGGATTGAGGGTAAGTGTTTATCATAAGAATGGAGGTGGTGGTTGCAATGTATTGCAACTCATCATCACTCTAGTTCCAAGTAAAAAAATAAATAGAGACAAGTTAACATCATTTGAATGAAATAACATTTCTTTATTTGACTAAAGCAGGACTAAACTTAAGTTTATCCTTAAATTAGTATTTGTAATCAACAATATATATATATACGCACATTGGTTTTTTAATTATGGAAATAAAAAAAAAATGGCAAATAAGAAAGCCGAAAATGAGGGGCACGTTGCTAAACACATTTAAAGATGAATCATCTTCAAATACCAATAAAAAAACAAATAAGAAACCTGAAAATGAAGAAGTTAGGATTATAACAGTATTATTATTTGGAAGCAAAAGAAGTGGGAAAATGACTTTAGCTAATGTAATCAATAATATTAATAATATGGAAGCAATTGATACAATGGAGTTTGGTGATAGAAGGTTAACCCCTCAAGAAATATTATATAACTTTGCAGAAACTGCCGATGATATTAAAGGCGGATTTAACCAAATTTTATTTGTCACTAATGGAAGTTTAGGGAAGAGGAAATTGAAGCTTATTATTTGTTACAATCAGTTATTTTTGGTCGAGATATTGTTAATTTTACAACTATAGTTAGAACTAGATTTCCAGATTTTGAAGATGATACTGAGTGTGATCAAGATTGTTTAGATATGATTAAGGAAAATGACAAAATTTCTACAATAATTAAAGAATGTAAAAAGGTTATTCATGTAGATAATCCACCAATAACACGTCGTACTAAGGAAGGTGCAGAAGAAACCCGAGAAGAATCAAGAAAAAAAAATATTAAACCACTTAAATACTTGTGGAAACATTTATTATCCACCAAATTTAGTTGAAATAAATGTTGGAATAAAAGAGTACACGATGTGTATAGAAAAATTAGAAAATGGGCTTGAAGATTTGAAAAGGCAAATGGTATTAGTTTATAATCCATCAACTATATACTGGTGAAGTTTTAGGAGCAATGGGTTCTGTATAAAATTTCGTGCAATGACAAACTTCCACTATGTGAATTGGTTTTTTTTTTTGGAAAAACAATCTTATTTTTTGACAGACAAAACATGATTCTCCTAAAGAAGAAGTGTTAATAACTAACCAGTGGTGCTATTTTTTACTTGCATTGATATGTCTTTTAGTTTATAAATATTTTAATTGGAATTGA